GTTTAGGTGTAAGGTTAGGTTGTTTATTTGAGTTTTTTCTTATTTCTTTAGGTAGGCTTGTATCATTATGACATTTCCCCCATTGAATGGTCTTGGCACACTTGGGACAAAAAAAAAATCGTTTGACTATATCTTGAGGGCTTATTTCTGGGCTCTCTATTTTTTTCTAAGATTGATTGAGATCAATCTTAGAGATAAAGAGAGGGAGAGAGAGTGAGTGAGATCACAGGGGGAGAGGCTGCAAGAGAGGGGAGAGGGAATCCTAAGCAGACTCTGAGCTGAGTGTGGAGCCCGACTTGGGGCTCGATGGGGGCTCAATCCCATGACCCTGAGATTACAACCCTGAGATCAGGACCTGAGCTGAAACCAAGAGTTGGACCCTAAATTGACTGAACCACCCAGGCACCCCACTGGGTTCTCTATTGTATTCCATTTGTACATTTGTCTGTCTTTATGCCAGCATCACACTGTTTTGATTACTGTAGTTTTATAATAAAGTTTGAACTCAGGAAGTGTGAATCCTCAGTTTGCTCTGCTTTTTCTAGATTGTTTTGGCTATACAGGGTTCCTTGAGATTTCATATGGATTTCAGGATGGGTTTATCTATTTTTGCGAAAAAAAGTCATTGGGACTTTGATAGGGATGGCATTAAATCTGTAAATCATTTTGGGTAGGATTAACATTTTAACAATATTAATTAAATCCTCTAATCCACGAACACAGAATGTCTTTCCATTTATTTGTGTATTCTTAAATTTCCATCTGCAACATTTTGTAGTTTTCATTGTACAAATCTTTCACTTCCTTTGTTATGTTATTTTTTTTAAGATTTTATTTTTTTATTTGACAGAGAGAGACATAGCGAGAGAGGGAACACAAGCAAGGGGAGTGGGAGAGGGAGAAGCAGGCTTCCCGTGGAGCAGGGAGCCCGATGCAGGGCTCGATTCCAGGACCCTGGGATCATGACCTGAGCCGAAGGCAGACGCTTAGTGACTGAGCCACCCAGGCGCCCCTGTTATGTTATTTCTGAGTATGTTATTCTTTCTGATGCTATTGTGAACACAATTATTTTCTTAATTTCCTTTTCAGATTGCTTATTGTTAGTGGATAGAAATGCAACTGATTTTTGCGTGCTGACTTTGTATCCTTATACTTTGCTGAATACATTTATTAGCTCTAATAATTTTTGTGTGGAATTGTTAGGATTTTCTAATTATAAGGT